GGTCCTTTTCTACATTGCTGCCTAAGTATCTGGCTCTGGTAATCGTTGTGTACAGCGGTTCCCTCGCTTGGTTTCTCCTTGGCTCTTGTTCCTACCCTATTTGTTTCATTGTATCTCTTCTTCGTTAGTATATCTTCACTACTGTACCCTCGATACCCTATTATGACTTGCTTTTTTTTTTTTAGCTTACATTTCTCCTATAGCTTATGCTACAAGCATGACAGCTATCAAAATCTTCTTCTTCCTTGGTTTTCCTTGCTTTTGTCCTTCTTCTTCCTTGCCGTTGCCTCCCTATGCTTCTGGTCTCACCTTCCTGTTTCTCAAGGTCTTCTTGGTAGGGCTCTCAGTACTTTGTGTTGCCTTCCCTCTTTGCCATGCACTTTATTCTCTTGCCCCCTCATCGGTCGCTGCCCCTCTTATCCTGACTAATGGACCGCTTCCTCTGTCGTTTGTATGGCTTTGTCATGCTCTCTCTCTCTCTCTCACTCTTCCCCACTTGTCCCTGCCTCGGTTCTTATCCTTGCCACATTTTTCCTGTGCTCCTTCCTCTCTTGTCCCTTGTCGTTCACGAATATGACCACCCCAAATTCCTTTACTTCTCTCCTGTTTGTTCAACCCCGGTATTATTATCGACGAGATCGTTTCTCTTTGGGCATCCCATTCAGCTCATGCCTCCTCTTCCGATCTCGGGTTGTACGGCGTTTGCCTGGATATGACACGACAATGCTGGTTGGGTTGTTCCACGGCCGTTCAGTCATTCGCGCTCGCTGATGTGGACTTCGATAAGTGGGGGATACAGTCTTCACTCCTGACGGCCTTTCCCATCATACCGCTGCTAGCTTGCGCCCGCCAGCTCGGCGCCACTTGCACTCTTTCTGGTCTCTCTGATCCGTAGTTAGCACCTGATCTTAAACGATATCTTTCTGCCATTCTCCATCCGTCTCTCTTTCTTGTTTGTTAAAAGTCCAAGACCCTGAGCTAGGTCTCCGGATCTGGTCAATTTTGCTTGTCAGCTAGGCACACTCGATTCCCTCTTCACGGCTTGCGTGAATTGGATTCGGCCAGCAATTAGGCACTAGGTGGTTCGCCAGGCTCATTCTCTCGCGAAGTGTGAAAACAAACAAGCAAGAAATGGTCCATTCCTACATTGCTACTTAAGTTGTCTTTCTCTGGTGACGTTATGTATAATGTTTCGCTCGCTCGGTTTCGCCTTGACTCTTGTTCCCGCTCTATTTGTTTCATTGTATCCATGTTTTGCGATTGTATCCGTGCTACTCTATTTTGTCGTGCTTTTATGCATACATGTTTCATTTTCTTCTATATCTAGATTAAATGTGTGACAGGGGCCAACACCGCAGACATTTTTCACAAAGGCGTTCCCGCCTCGTTATCGTCAGCAACTCTACAAACAAGTTGACCTTGTCCCAGTACCGGTATCCCAACTTGACCTTGCGCAATGCGCTTATGGCACATGCACGTTCCCTCTCCCCCTCCTCGGGACGTGTTGTCAATCAGCTTCGTGCCGTTCCGCCTTTCCTGATCGAATCGCCCACCCTCGAGAGAGTCAAAGTATAAATGGATGTGGACTCGCTGCAAAACGGGAAATCGTTACCATTCTGATTAGGATTTAAAAGTGGTTATTATACATGCGCTTATAATAAATCAGATTTTTACACGGGGCGCCCTTGTAATCGAGGATCGGCCATAAGCGCATGCTCTATATGTAAGCGCATGCGCTTAGGATGCGGCACCTCTAGGGAGGAAGCCACGATCGATCCTGAGTGGGGATCGATCCTGGCTTGTTCAGTGAAATCGCGAAATCGCTACCATGCTGGTATCCGGTTTCGTCATATCTCGCAAGTGTACAGTAAATTGGTGCCCAAAATGGTGGCACCTTTGGCTCGCACAATTGATGTGCCTGCGCCCACACATCGATCATATAATTGTGGAGATCGGGGCCATTTTGCCCCAGAATTTTTCGATCGCGGCACCTGTGGCTCGGTGTGTCCAGACGATCGTAATTTTGCAGTGTGGGCACATCAGTGTGCCGATCGATGTGCCCACATCGGTGTGCCGATCCTTCCCCGATCCAAGCCAATTCCCTTAGAGGTGTTGCGTCCTTAACATAGGCCTGCACCCATATCCAGGGTCATGCGTTAGCTCACTTGTTAGGATCTTGAAATCTCTACTCTATATTGGACTTGATTTTGTTTAGCTATATTAACTGACTATCCTTGTCGTGGCCCTTTGTCTCAAAAGCCGAATTACCGTAATAGTACGGCCCTAAGTTGTAGCTCACACACTTGGTTCTTGCTAACTGACGTATGGCCTCCTACCTTTGATTCTGGACTAGTAGTGCCGCGCTGAAATGGTTATAACTTTAGGTGTTGTCCTTTACCTAGCCTAGGGGGTGTTTGAACGTAAACATTTATGTTTTGCGTGTGCTTTGTAGACCAATGTGGGTTACACTATAGAGGGTATGGGACGTTATATCTACCCCCGTGAGTGCCCGCATGAGAGTGTGTTCCTACGACCTCCTGTCAGGGGCACCTCGTATAAGATTGGTACTCCTCGCCTGAAAATTGGCCAACTCGCTAGAACCTCGTATCAGGAAAAGTTGACGGCTAACCCATACATGCGACCGAAAGTCAATGCTCATGTGTCTTGTTACGAATCAGCACTGTGCGCGCTTTGCCACAGCTGAACATCGCGCCTTGAAAAGTCAATGCTGATGTTCCTTGTTTGTGAAAAGTCTGCACGTTCGTGTGCAGCCATGCCCTCATATTCGTTTTGGGGCTGTCTGATTCGTCAGATTTAGTACACATTTTTAGTCTGATTAATCAGACTTGGTACAAAAAAAACTCTGAAATTTCAGAGTTCAAGAGTATAAAAGTCTGATTACACAGAGTTCACATCAGTAGGGAAGCTGATGGATCAGCCTACAACGAGGTGGTGATTGCGCCGCGCGACACTGTTGTCACTGTTTCAGCTTGACTGACAGGACTGAACTGTACTTGCAGCGCTCATCGCGGCTGTTGGGGCAGATTTCGCACAAGAATACCAGAGTAGGTACCCGCTAAACAGCTCATGGATCAGAGTACACTCTGAGAAAAAGGCTGAAAAATCAGACAAGGCCTACATTTTTTTCTGAATATTCAGAGTTCACAACAAAAAAAGCTCTGAACTTTCAGAGTTCACTAAAAAAAAAAGGCTGAAATATCCGACTTTTTTAGGCAAATCAGAGAAATTTCTCTGACTTCTGGGGGCCTGTGTGCAGCGCACCAATGCCACGTTACGAAACCGAGCAGGAATAATTGTCGGCCGCAAACACAGGGCAAACGGTTGCTCATCAAAGGGAACTGTGCCCGGGGGATTCTCCACGTTCGAGCGATATGATTGGTGCGCTGATTCGGCACAATCCTGATACGAGGTGTTTTATAACGTGAAGTTTGAGAATTTTCATTACTGATACCGTATTCTCCCAGATAAAACACCCCCCCGTAATTGTACACCCCCGGGTAGTTTATACGGGGTGGGTGTTATATCCGGCCCCGTTAGTACTATACCCCCCTTTTTGGGGTGATTCTCTATAACACCCCCCTTTTCTTATAAATTCCTACTATAGCTGTTATCGAGTCCGATTCCTTACGGGAGGATATCGCGAAAATCACTCCCTAGAAGAAATTTCGCATGTACTTTCACTTAGAATCAGCCGAGATATCCCCCCTCCCACAATCTCGCTGTCGCCACGCTGGTGAATCCCAAAATCTCGTTGTCGCCACGCTGGCGAATCTTCCACTGCAAGTGGTCCAAGAGGTGAAGTGGCCCAAGTGGCCCAAGTGGCCCACAATATCCTCGTACTCGGTTTTGCGGCATTGATCAACAATCTTGAAGTGAAGTCAGACCCCTGATTTTGTTTCACATCTTTTCTGTTTTATAAAAAATATACCATATCATAAGACCCGGGTATTATATAGGATTTTCCTTTGAGGAGACCCCCCCATTTTTTTCCAGTTGTTTTCATAATACCCTAGGGTGTTTTATCCGGGAGAATACGGTATGAGGTTAGCCCGTAGGAACACGCTCTGAGCTCATTCATTCAGTTGTGACCGACAGTTGGATGTTTTCCTGGGTGTGCCTCGCTGGATGGAATCCAAGCTGTCTAGCAGGCCCTCAGATTCGTTTTTGGCCTGTCTGATTTGTCAGACTAGTACACAATTTTAGTCTGAAAATCTCAGAGTTGGTATAAAAAAAAAAGGCTGAAATTTCAGAGTGTCCTAAAAAAAAAAAGTCTGATCATTCAAAAACAATGTATTCAATGTTTCATCGGAGTGTAATCAATGTTTCATTCATCTGCTACCGAAACACACAACACTAATGGGATTTCCGATAAAACATGCTCTGACAGGGCGAATATATGTGTCAGGGCGAATCTTGTGGTGCGAAAGAGCGAATCTGCAATGTCAGGGCGAGTTTTCTATGATTAGTCGAAAATTGTTGTGCTCTGACAGCGCAAATCTGTTGTGTAAGGGCGATTTTGCTATGATTGGGCGAAAATCTTGTGCTGTAAGGCTCGGATTTGCTGTGTCAAGGCGATTTTGCGTTGACATTGCGAATCTGTTGTGACCCGTAAGTCCGAATCACCAGACAAGGACGCGTTTGTACTCTGAATGATCAGAGTACACTCTCAGAAAACTCTGAACTCTCAGAGTTAGCCTTAAAAAAAGTCTGAAAATTACAGAGTTTGGGCCCAAAAAAGTCTGATTTTAACAGAGTACACTGGAAAAAAAAAATCTGAAATATCAGAGTTTTTTGTGCAAATCAGAGAAAAAAGTCTGACTTCGTAGGGCCTGCTGTCTAGTCCAACTATCAAAGCAAGCCTTTCCCTAGGTGAACCCTCATGGGTTGATACCGGTACATCATAAGCCTTGCAGATACTGCATGCTTGAATTATATACAGCAAAAGTCAGAAATACTGGTAACACCAACCAATAACGACCCTAAACAATCGAGGGCACTGAATTGATAACCACCCATGAAACTAACATCTCCGCCTCATCCAGCACCTCTGCTGAAACCTGCCCTGACCCCCAGTCATCCCGCCGCCTCTGCTGCTCCTTGTGCCGCCCACCCGCCTGCTTATTCCGCCCCAGACCCCTCACGTCCCCCTCGTCCTCATCCTCACCCTCAGCGGCAAGCCCTGTGGTGGTGAGAAGGTATTCGAGGGAGAGGGGGTCCTTCACCTGGCGGCCGGACATAGAGCGGTACAGCAGCTGTGCTGTTTCACAGGTGCTGGCTCGCGTTACTAGCACCTGCTGGGATGCATATGGCATGGGATGGACGTATCAAGGGACACAGGGACAGCAGGGGTGGGGGGGCAGGGGAAGGAGGGGAGGATGGGGTAAGCGGGGGGACTGGGGGGGAAGGAGGGAGAGAAACGATTGGACGGTGTGGCATTTGGTAGAGTTCGTTTTAGCACCAAGTAAAGGGCTACATGAGAAGGTGAGTGGGACTGGCAGAGTGGTGATGAGGAGTAACTTGTTACAAGGGGCATAGAGGGAACTAGGAGTGATGGTGTGAGTCGTTGCGAGACTACTCAAAACAGTGCTGAGAGAGGGGGGCGGAGAGAGGGAGAGTGAGAGGCGCACAGGCTCGGGGAGAGAGATGCCGAGCTGTGCGTGTGCGTGGCGTGAGAGCTCCCCTGGATGGGTCATCTGCAGCACACAGCGTAGGGCTCTCGGTAGTAGCTGCACGGGCGCGGGGAGGAGAGAGGAGGAGGGGGAGGAGGAGGAGGAGAGGAAGGGGGAGGTGGAAGGGGGAACGGGAAGGGGGCGTGGGGGGGGTGGGGGGGGAAGGGAAGGGGGAGGGAGGAAAAGGTTGAGGGAGCGGGAGGAGACAACAAGGAGTGACTTAGAGAGGGTGGGGGGTGTGGGGAGGTGGGGGGTGTGGGGAGAAGTAAGCACACAAGTGCAATGCCTTAATGCTCGATGCTCGATCTACAAACCGAGGCACTCTGCTCCCACCCAATGCCAACCAAAGCCACTTCCTTGGCGGCGGCACTTAACCGTACCTCTTGGGCTTCCTTGACCAACCTCCTCTCTTCCGCTCTCCGCTCCCTCGCTCCCCTCTCTTCCCCTTCAACATCCCCCACTCCCTCCCCTTCCCCATCATCCCCGTCCCTCGCACCCTCCTCCTGCCTCCCCTTCCCCTTCCCCTTGGTCCTCCTCTTGCCCCTGCTGCCCTTCTTCCCCCCCTCCTCTTCCCCAGTCCCCAGCAACAACTCCGAATCGACAGGCTCCCCAGCCCTTAGTCTCCGCACCACCTCTGCTGCATCGGCTGCTGCTCTGTCCCACTCCAGACCGCCCCTTCGCATGCGCAGCGCTGCTGCTAGTAACGCTGCGGGGTGTGTGGTGGTGGCGGTGGCTGCTAGGTAGAGGGATAGGATTGTCACCCTGAGAGGGATGGTTGGGCAGGGAGAAAAGGTGTTGGGGTGAGAGGTTGGGAGAGTGAGAGAGGGAGGACAGTGGGAGAGGTTACAGATAAGGGAATTGCAGGATGTTTGCTTTCTGAAGAAGGAAAATGGGAAAGACACAAAGCTACACACGCATGGGAGGGAGGGAGGTATGGATTGATATGGATGGGTGGATGGATTACTAAACGGATGGACTCAAGGACAGCAAGTAAGTGATAATGGGAAGTAAGAAGGAGATATATACACATCTGAAGAAAAAGAGGCTCAAATCAAAGTGCCAACTGACCAGACGAGAGGACGGCAGGGAGCGTTGGGAGCGGTAAGGCGATCCAGCTGCCGCAACATAGCCTGGTGCGTGCACGGGTGAACATTTGTGGATAAATGGATGGGCGGATTGGTGAGCACAGGTGAACATGTGAATGGGCGGATTGGTGGAGAGAGGAGGTAAGAGAAGGAAGTGTTGGGAGGGAGGGTGGATGGAGGATGAAGTATTGGGAGGGAGTGATATTTGATGTCCACAAGAATTAGAGCGTGTGAGTGGTGTTGAAGCACAGGGGCATGCGCATTGCTGCAAGCCTGCTCACAAGAGTGGAGCACGCACTTGCATGCCTGAGGACTTTTGAGGCGCCTCAAAAATTGCCTGAGGGTTTTTGAGGCGCCTCAAAAATTGCCTGAGGGTTTTTGAGGCGCCTCAACATGCGCATTGCTGCAAGCCTGCTCACAAGAGTGGAGCACGCACTTGCATGCCTGAGGGTGGGCAGCGAGCGTGGTTACAGCAGCGAGTGCACAAAATAGCATTCCAACGAGCTGAGTCCTCAGTGCACTAGTGTATGCTGTACTGCACTAGTGGTGTGCACGCATGGCTGTGTGCACGTGCACTTGTGTGTGCATGGCATGGGGCACAGCAGGTACTGACGAAGAGCAGGTCGTCAGCAGTGGCAGCAGCAGAGGGAGAGGTTGGGAAGCCGCGATCTAGCAGACGAGCCGACTGGTGGAGAGGAGAGGGGCGGATGGGGAGAAGGCGGGGCGAGTGTGGGAGGAGGGAGAAATGAGACAGGTGGAGTTTGAGCGGTAAGAGGGTGGCAAAGGGGAGAGAAGGGCGTGCGATCTTCGCAAGCAAAAAAGAAGACAGGGGAAAGGAGAGAGGGGAGACAGAGGAGAATCAGTGAGGGTAATATAAGTGAGGGGAGACAGAGTGAGAGGAGTGATGGGAATAGTGAAGGGAGAAGGGAATAGTGAAGGGAGGAAAAAATGGCTGAAATGGTGCCCACAGCTAGCGGGACAGCCACGGGGGTATAAATAGAATGGCATGGCATGGCATCGCATTCCATCGCATTGCATCGCATCACATCACATCACATCACATCACATCACATCACATCACATCACATCACATCACATCACATCACATCACATCACATCACATCACATCACATCACATCACATCACATCACATCACATCACATCACATCAATATCACACCACACTGAATGGCCTTACGTGCAGGGGCAGCAGCAGCGGCATGAGGCGGTGCGACCAGAGCAAGCGGACGGCTGTCTCAGAGGATCCATATGACAGCAGCAACGTTACCTCCTGCTGCACGCGCTCCTGATGTACGGGGGAGGATGGAGAGAGGAGGGAGGAAAGGGGGTTGAAGGAATGACAGAGCAAGCGGACGGCGAGCTCAGAGCAGCCGTATGAGAGAAGCAGCGCCACCTCCTGCTGCACGCGCTCCTGCCAGCACCACCTGTGGAGAGGAGGACGGGGAGAGGATGGGGTTCCGTATGTGCCAGTGCCAGCACATGTTCTAGAGAGCAACTTATGAGGCGCCTAAAAAAACAATGCCAGCACCTGGGTGCTAGAGAGCAACCATACAGCTGCATCAGCACTTCCCATCCGTCCCCACCCACATGCCCTGCCTGCCAGCCAGGCGACTTTTGAGGCGCCGCAAGAGACATCCCATCCGTCCTCGCATCACATCACATGCCCTTGCTACCAGGCACAACTTGTTGACATGCGCGAGCGAGGAGAGGAGGCGGGGCGACTGCAATGGGGTGTGAGATCACCCCCCCACATGCCTCACCACACACACACCCTTTCACGTGCCCTCCAGTGCCCACCTTGTTGACATGCGCGAGGGAGGAGAGGAGGCGGGGCGACTCCAGTGCAGCAACAATGTCCTCATGCAGCGACAGGCGTGCCTTGGCTGCCATGCGCATAGCTCTCAGCACACGCACTGCACACGCGGGGGGGTGAGGGGGGAAAGAGTGGGGAAAGGTGGAGAAATTGGGGATACGGGGAGAGGGAAAGGAGAGTGTGAGCAGGGAGGGCCACAGAGTGCGTTTTGAGAGATGGGCAGTGAATGCACTGCAGATGTGAGTACACAACTGCTGCTCTCTGAGAATTATGACTGAGAGCTGCGGATGTGAAGCAACGATGAACGTAAGTGTGTGACGGAGGGACACGAACTAACCTGGGTCATCTAGGAAGGAGGGCAGAGCTGGTTGTATCGTTCTGAGCTGACTCGGGGACACACATGCAGAGAAGAAAGCGCGGTGAAGAGGGCAAGGGGGAGAGGGAGATAGAGAAGCATGCACAGAGGAGGTGGGAACACACACGCATGAGGCATGGGTACATTGGTATGTATGTATGTGACACCTACATGCATGCAGGCGTGCTTGCTTGTATGCTTGCTTGGGTTGGGTGCACACACGCGTACATTGGGACAGCGATGGCAGGGATGGCCGGTAGCACATGCGGAAGCGCACACATCACAAGCAGTCATTTGAATACATAGAAAAGTTGCACCCCGCGCAACATCTCAAACATGTGCTCATGTGAGGAATGACGGGATGACATGGCATAGCATGGCACGGCACCGCACGGCACGGCACGGCACGGCACGGCACGGCACGGCACGGCACGGCACGGCACGGCACGGCACGGCACGGCACGGCACGGCACGGCACGGCACGGCACGGAATAGCATGGCATGCAATGCAAGGCAGGGAGGCCGCACCACGCGGGTCTTGATGTCATGCAGAGCGCCCACATAATCGTAGAGCGTGCCACTGAAGGGCTCTAGCATCAGCCTGATGTGCCCCGCCCGCGCATGGGCAGAGGAAAGGGGGAGTGTGAGCAGGGGAGGGAGTGTGAGCAGCGGAGGGGGTGTGAGCAGGGGAGGGGATGGGAGGTAATGTGGTCGGAAGAGGGAGTGTGCACAGGGCAGTGTAGGATCAAGAGATGAATCTAAAGAAATGAAAGAGAATACGACAAAGGAGACCAGAAGCGTGTAGACAACTTGACAGAAGGGTGCACATAGGATTTCGGGAGTGAGCCAGCACAAACACACAGGGTAGCTTCACCATCACCCATCACACATGACCCCAGAGCACACGCACCCATTGACGGTGAAGTCTCTGCGCGCAGCATTGAGCCATCGCTCTGAGTCCTTGCCCGTCCACTCTTTCCTCTCCACCATCTCCCTCGGGGGTCGCACCGGCACCAGCAGCCCCTCTTTCTCTCCCCCCTCCCCTTCTTCCTCCACCTCCTCCTCCTCCTCTCCCTCCTCCTCCCCATCGTCTCCCTCCTCCTCCACCTCATCATCCCTCTCCTCGCCGTCCCCCGTGTCATCATCAAGCCAAGCCAGCTTGGTTGCAGGCATCCTGAGCTCCGTTCTTGCCACTCTCTTTCGCCTCTGCGGCAACTGCTCCTTGGTTTTGAAGCTCGATACCTGCACGGGGGAGAGAACAGCACGGCATGGCAACACAAGGGGACGTAGGAGAGAGAGGACTTTTGAGGCGCCCTAAAAGTCATGTCATGAATTGAGGGGCTTCAGAAGTTGGTTTCTGACTGCGGCAACTGCTCCTTGGTCTTGAAGCTCGATACCTGCTCCCGGGGACAGAACAGCACGGCATGGCAATGGAGGGGGGCGTAGGGGAGGGAGATATGTGGTATATTGAGCATGGTGCATGGTGCATGGTATGTGTTGCAGCTGTTACTTTCCCCATTGCACTCCCACTGTCTCCTTGCTGAGCTCAAGCATACTCTTTCTTTGAGTTTAACCAAGTTGAATACCGCAACCTGTGGCATCAACCTCAACCTGTGGCATCAACCTCAACCTGTGGCATCAACCTCAACCTGTGGCATCAACCTCAACCTGTGGCATCAACCTCAACCTGTGGCATCAACCTCAACCTGTGGCATCAACCTCAACCTGTGGCATCAACCTCAACCTGTGGCATCAACATCAACCTGTGGCATCAACCTCAACCTGTGGCATCAACCTCAACCTGTGGCATCAACCTCAACCTGTGGCATCAACCTCAACCTGTGGCATCAACCTCAACCTGTGGCATCAACCTCAACCTGTGGCATCAACCTCAACCTGTGGCATCAACCTCAACCTGTGGCATCAACCTCAACCTGTGGCATCAACATCAACCTGTGGCATCAACCTCAACCTGTGGCATCAACCTCAACCTGTGGCATCAACCTCAACCTGTGGCATCAACCTCAACCTGTGGCATCAACCTCAACCTGTGGCATCAACCTCAACCTGTGGCATCAACCTCAACCTGTGGCATCAACCTCAACCTGTGGCATCAACCTCAACCTGTGGCATCAACCTCAACCTGTGGCATCAACCTCAACCTGTGGCATCAACCTCAACCTGTGGCATCAACCTCAACCTGTGGCATCAACCTCAACCTGTGGCATCAACCTCAACCTGTGGCATCAACATCAACCTGTGGCATCAACCTCAACCTGTGGCATCAACCTCAACCTGTGGCATCAACATCAACCTGTGGCATCAACCTCAACCTGTGGCATCAACATCAACCTGTGGCATCAACCTCAACCTGTGGCATCAACCTCAACCTGTGGCATCAACATCAACCTGTGGCATCAACCTCAACCTGTGGCATCAACCTCAACCTGTGGCATCAACCTCAACCTGTGGCATCAACCTCAACCTGTGGCATCAACCTCAACCTGTGGCATCAACCTCAACCTGTGGCATCAACCTCAACCTGTGGCATCAACATCAACCTGTGGCATCAACATCAACCTGTGGCATCAACATCAACCTGTGGCATCAACATCAACCTGTGGCATCAACCTCAACCTGTGGCATCAACCTCAACCTGTGGCATCAACATCAACCTGTGGCATCAACCTCAACCTGTGGCATCAACCTCAACCTGTGGCATCAACCTCAACCTGTGGCATCAACCTCAACCTGTGGCATCAACCTCAACCTGTGGCATCAACATCAACCTGTGGCATCAACATCAACCTGTGGCATCAACCTCAACCTGTGGCATCAACCTCAACCTGTGGCATCAACCTCAACCTGTGGCATCAACCTCAACCTGTGGCATCAACCTCAACCTGTGGCATCAACATCAACCTGTGGCATCAACATCAACCTGTGGCATCAACCTCAACCTGTGGCATCAACATCAACCTGTGGCATCAACATCAACCTGTGGCATCAACCTCAACCTGTGGCATCAACCTCAACCTGTGGCATCAACCTCAACCTGTGGCATCAACCTCAACCTGTGGCATCAACCGCAACCTGTGGCATCAACCTCAACCTGTGGCATCAACATCAACCTGTGGCATCAACCTCAACCTGTGGCATCAACCTCAACCTGTGGCATCAACCTCAACCTGTGGCATCAACCTCAACCTGTGGCATCAACCTCAACCTGTGGCATCAACCTCAACCTGTGGCATCAACCTCAACCTGTGGCATCAACATCAACCTGTGGCATCAACATCAACCTGTGGCATCAACCTCAACCTGTGGCATCAACCTCAACCTGTGGCATCAACCTCAACCTGTGGCATCAACCTCAACCTGTGGCATCAACCTCAACCTGTGGCATCAACCTCAACCTGTGGCATCAACATCAACCTGTGGCATCAACATCAACCTGTGGCATCAACCTCAACCTGTGGCATCAACATCAACCTGTGGCATCAACATCAACCTGTGGCATCAACCTCAACCTGTGGCATCAACCTCAACCTGTGGCATCAACCTCAACCTGTGGCATCAACCTCAACCTGTGGCATCAACCTCAACCTGTGGCATCAACATCAACCTGTGGCATCAACCTCAACCTGTGGCATCAACCTCAACCTGTGGCATCAACCTCAACCTGTGGCATCAACATCAACCTGTGGCATCAACCTCAACCTGTGGCATCAACCTCAACCTGTGGCATCAACCTCAACCTGTGGCATCAACCTCAACCTGTGGCATCAACCTCAACCTGTGGCATCAACATCAACCTGTGGCATCAACATCAACCTGTGGCATCAACCTCAACCTGTGGCATCAACCTCAACCTGTGGCATCAACCTCAACCTGTGGCATCAACATCAACCTGTGGCATCAACCTCAACCTGTGGCATCAACCTCAACCTGTGGCATCAACCTCAACCTGTGGCATCAACATCAACCTGTGGCATCAACCTCAACCTGTGGCATCAACCTCAACCTGTGGCATCAACCTCAACCTGTGGCATCAACCTCCCTGGCGACCGCCACAGACTTCCCTCTCCTACCGTCCCCTCCCCTTCCCTACCCTTCCCTCCCCTTCCCCCCTTCCCTCTCCTCCCTTCCCCTCCCCTTCCCTCCCCCCTCTCTCAGAAAATGTCTTCTTCGCCTCCCTTCAAATCACCCTCCCTCCACCCTCCCTCCACCCTCCCTCCACCCTCCCTCCACCCTCCCTCTCCCCTATTCAACAGTCTCCCTGCAACTTGCCCCATCGCCCACCCTTCCTGCAACCTTTCCCCCTCCCGCCTCTCATTCCCCCCCTTTCCCCACCTCCTCCTCACCCCAACAATCTCCTTGCCCACCATCACGTGCCCACCATCACGTGGCAGATGGGGAAGGTCCCCTCTTGACGATTTTCCCCATCGCCTCACCCTCTCTTCACCCTCCTCCCCTCCCATTCCCCTCCCCCTCCCCTTCCCTTCCGCTCCTCCTCACCTCAACGATCTCCCCGCCCACCATCACGTGGCAGATGGGGAAGCGCCGCCCCACAATGCGCGCCCTGGGGAACGACTTGCGGATCTGACGCCATGGGGGGACGAAGTGGGGTGAGGGAGAGCGGGATAGTGTAAGGGAGGAACAAGATAGGAGAGCACAAAGCAGATAAAAACACACCACACCACACCACACCACACCACACCACACCTTGGAGGCAACTGTGGGCAAAAGCCAGTAACCTTCACACCATCCCAAAACATCAGAGTTCAAACCACACCCGCCCTCCCACTCCATCCCCTTCCCAGTAAGTCCTTGCGGGGCACAGCATGCGTAACGGTCCCTTCTGAGTTGACTCACAACAAGTTACCTACACGTGCGTGCAGTCACGGTGAGGGGAGAAGCAGTAGCGCGCACCTGATGGGTGGTGGCGGTGGAGAGCACGTCATAGTCCTTGGGTGGCACGTCTAGCAGCAGGTCGCTTGAGAGTTGACTCACGAGACACCTAGAGAGGTGCAGTGCAGTCACGGTGCGAGGAGAGGAAGGCAGCAGCGCACACCTGATGGGTGGTGGCGGTGGAGAGCACGTCATAGTCCTTGGGTGGCACGTCTAACAGCAGGTCTCTGATGCTGCCGCCCACCAGGTACGCCTCGAACCCTGCCAGGCACGCGTGGGGGGTGGGAGAGGAGAGGAGCTGCCGTTTGTCATGAGAGTGGGAGAGTGGGATAGTCTGAGGGAGGGAGAGAGATAGAGTGTTGATAGCTCAAACCGCACTTGGGGGGCACGTCCCGCAGTAGGTCTCTGATGCTGCCGCCCACTAGATACGCCTCGAACCCTGCCAAAGAGAGGTGGGGGGATGGTTGGGAGCGGAGTGAGAGGGTGGAGAGTGCGAGCGTGGGGGAGTGGGAGGGTAGGGGAGTGGGAGGGTGGGGGAGTGGGAGGGAGGTGGAGTGGGAGGGTGGGGAGTGTGAGGGTGGGAGGGTGGGAGGGTGGGAGGGTGGGAGGGTGGGAGGGTGGGAGGGTGGGAGGGTGGGAGGGTGGGAGGGTGGGAGGGTGGGAGGGTGGGAGGGTGGGAGGGTGGGAGGGTGGGAGGGTGGGAGGGTGGGAGGGTGGGAGGGTGGGAGGGTGGGAGGGTGGGAGGGTGGGAGGGTGGGAGGGTGGGAGGGTGGGAGGGTGGGAGGGTGGGAGGGTGGGAGGGTGGGAGGGTGGGAGGGTGGGAACAGACAGAAGACTTGGTGAAGGTTGTGACTGGGAGCAACTTAAAGGCAGGCAAGATGAGATGAGCAGGAGCAGGAGCAGGAGCAGGAGCAGGAGCAGGAGCAGGAGCAGGAGCAGGAGCAGGAGCAGGAGCATTGGTGTATGGAGAACAGACACACATTCCACTTCTCTTGTGGACCACGATCTCATGACGATTGGACATAACCCTGACACCCCTTTTGAGGCGCCTCAAAAGCCACTTCTTTTGTGGATCATAACCTCATAACGATTGGGCATAACAACCCTGACACCCCTCACTCCCCTCCCCTCCAACCTCTCTGCCAGTCAATCCCCTCACCCGTACCTTACGTCACCCTCCTTCCTCTCCCTTCGTCCCTTCCTTTCCCCACCCACCCAACCAGCGCCTTGCCTTGACGTCTGGTGCCCCGTGCGCACAATCAGGGACGTCTCAGAATCAAAGTGCCCCCGGAGCACGTGCTGGGTGAAGCTGGGCTTGTTGACTGAAGAGTCGACCAGAATCCACCCACCAGACCCCACCCGGATGACTTGTTGACTCCTTGTGACTCCACGAGTGACCTATGCCGCTCACCCACGCACCCAGCGCCTCTCACTGTGGCGTCGCAGCCCCTGGAGCACGTGCCAGGTGAAGCTGAGCACCTGTGCGGAGCACACTCACACTCACACCCACCCACACCCCCCCCCCCGCCCAGCGCCTCTCTCACCGTGGCGTCGCAGCCCCCGGAGCACATGCCAGGTGAAGCTGGGGATGAGGTGCGGGCGCATTGGGTGCTGCCCTGCTCGCAGCACCACTGCTGCGGCCGCCCCTATGCATGCTCCATGCGGTGATGGGGACAGGGGGGTTGATGGGGACAGCACGGCATAGGAATGGGACAGAGAATCCGGTAAGAGAGGAGAGGGGGAAGGGCCAAGGGGATGAGGTGCGGGCGCATTGGGTGCTGCCCTGCTCGCAGCACCACTGCTGGGGCCGCCCCTATGCATGCTCCATGCGGTGAGGGCAGAGGGGGACGACAGGGACAGGGCGGCAGAGAAGGGGGACAGGGGCTAAGGCGTAAGGCGGAGCGGGCAGGACGGGGGAGGGGGAAAGCGGGGAGGGGGGGAAGAGTGAAGAGAAAAAAGGTAAGGGAGAAATGGGAGAGGGGAAGAAGGAAAAGAATGGGGAAAGGAGGAGGAGCAGAGGGGGGCGGCAAAGGGTAAGGGGAGAGGGGAACAGGGAAAAGAATGGGGAAAGGAGGAGGAGCAGAGGGGGGCGGCAAAGGGTAAGGGGAGAGGGGAAGAAGGAAACGAATGGGGAAAGGAGGAGGAGCAGAGGGGGGCGGCAAAGGGTAAGGGGAGAGGGGAAGAGGGAAAAGAATGGGGAAAGGAGGAGGAGCAGAGGGGGGCGGAAAAGGATAAGGGGAGAGGGGAAGAAGGAAAAGAATGGGGAAAGGAGGAGGAGCAGAGGGGGGCGGCAAAGGGTAAGGGGAGAGGGGAACAGGGAAAAGAATGGGGAAAGGAGGAGGAGCAAGGGGGGGGCGGCAAAGGGTAAGGGGAGAGGGGAAGAAGGAAACGAATGGGGAAAGGAGGAGGAGCAGAGGGGGGCGGCAAAGGGTAAGGGGAGAGGGGAAGAGGGAAAAGAATGGGGAAAGGAGGAGGAGCAGAGGGGGGCGGAAAAGGATAAGGGGAGAGGGGAAGAAGGAAAAGAATGGGGAAAGGAGGAGGAGCAGAGGGGGGCGGCAAAGGGTAAGGGGAGAGGGGAAGAGGGAAAAGAATGGGGAAAGGAGGAGGAGCAAGGGGGGGGCGGCAAAGGGTAAGGGGAGAAGGGAAGAAGGAAACGAATGGGGAAAGGAGGAGGAGCAGAGGGGGGCGGCAAAGGGTAAGGGGAGAGGGGAAGAAGGAAACGAATGGGGAAAGGAGGAGGAGCAGAGGGGGGCGGCAAAGGGTAAGGGGAGAGGGGAAGAGGGAAAAGAATGGGGAAAGGAGGAGGAGCAGAGGGGGGCGGCAAAGGGTAAGGGGAGAGGGGAAGAAGGAAAAGAATGGGGAAAGGAGGAGGAGCAGAGGGGGGCGGCAAAGGGTAAGGGGAGAGGGGAAGAAGGAAACGAATGGGGAAAGGAGGAGGAGCAGAGGGGGGCGGCAAAGGGTAAGGGGAGAGGGGAAGAGGGAAAAGAATGGGGAAAGGAGGAGGAGCAGAGGGGGGCGGAAAAGGATAAGGGGAGAGGGGAAGAAGGAAAAGAATGGGGAAAGGAGGAGGAGCAGAGGGGGGCGGCAAAGGGTAAGGAGAGAGGGGAAGAGGGAAAAGAATGGGGAAAGGAGGAGGAGCAAGGGGGGGGCGGCAAAGGGTAAGGGGAGAAGGGAAGAAGGAAACGAATGGGGAAAGGAGGAGGAGCAGAGGGGGGCGGCAAAGGGTAAGGGGAGAGAGGAAGAAGGAAAAGAATGGGGAAAGGAGGAGGAGCAGAGGGGGGCGGCAAAGGGTAAGGGGAGAGGGGAAGAAGGAAAAGAATGGGGAAAGGAGGAGGAGCAGAGGGGGGCGGCAAAGGGTAAGGCAAAAGGGGGAAGAGAGCATGAGAGGGCGGAAGGGCGTTGGTGGAGAAGGTGGGGGATGGATGAGCAAGGGGAGGGCACAAAAAAGAGCATGATGTGACACAAGAAAGCAGCGCTAAAGTAACAAGGACCGGAAGTATCGTACCTCCCTCCTTCCCTTTGCCTTTTGACCTCTTGCCACGGCCACTCTTGCTGCTGCTAGCCGCACCACCCCCGGCTCTACCCACACCACCACTGCTACCACCAGCGCCATCACCACCACCTTTACCACTTCCACGAGCGCTTTTGCTACCCGAATGGGCACCATGACCAGCGGGAGAAGCAGCACCGCTTTTCCCCTGCGCCCGCTCCTTCTTCCTCCGGCTTCTCTCCGCTGTGGAACCCTCCCCTGCGTGCGTCCCGTGACCAGCAGCAGCCGCAGCCGCCGCAGCAGTGAGTGCCGCAGGAGCAGCAGCAGCAGGAGCGGCCGAATCGATGTCAGAAGCCAGGCTGCCATAGCCCCTGCTTCCAGGGGGTGAACTGCCTCTCATGCTGTTGTTTCCGCTGCCACTGCCACTGGATCTGCTGCTGCTGCTGTTTCCGCTGCTGCTGCTGTTGTTGTTGTTCCCGCTGCTGCTGGTGCTGCTGCTACTGCTGCAGCAAGCAGCGGTGCTGATGCCACGTGACCTGGCGCACTGGCTTTTGAGGGGAAGGAAAGAAGTGGCGGAGGGGGATGCGGTGTGGAGGGTGGGAACGGGCGCGGCGAAGCATCTCAAGAGAGCAAGAGACGGCAGGGCAGCCATGGGCGTAGCCTGTGTGAGGGCCATCGGACGGGCTACTCTGCTGCACCCACCACCACCACCACCACTGCTGCTGCTGCTGCTGCTGCTGCTGCTGCTGCTCCTGCTGCCGGCGCTGCTACTAGTGAACCCCCTCTTGCTGGTCCCAGCTGGCTGCCAAGTGTGCACACAACGAGAAGCGGGACGAGGAAGGGAGGGAGGGAGGGAGGGAGAAAGTAAGTTACAAAGAATGAAAAGAGCGAAACGGTAGGGGAAGGCAGAAGGGAAGGCACGGGCACGAGGGGCTAGCAGGCGCGAGGCGGGCAATGTGGCACGGGATCGACGAGGCCAGAGATGTTCTAAGGTGACTCGAAAATGTGCTCTGAGCCGACTCGAAACAAGCTGAGGTGGGCTATGTGGCAGCGTATTGACGAGGCCAAAGACGACGCGAAGCGAGGCACAGGCAGCACCGTAGCAGTTACGGCGGGCGAGAGACGCCTGATACAGGATCCCTTCGCATCCGCGTTTTAAGACACAAGCCTCTTCTATTTCACGCTGAACAAAGTGCTGAGCTGCCAAGTGTGGCAATTGCCGTGCTGACTGCCATATCAGTCACGAAACCTGCGTTCGAGAGAGGATTCGGCTTGGTGAACGCACGCAGATCAACTAGCAACCAGCCCTGATCCACCGACCAGCACCCGAAACCCTGAACCCTGAATCTATTTTCCCCTCCCTCCTCCATCTCCTTCCTTCCTTGGAGTTCTTATAGCTTCTCGTCTGCACCATTCCACACCCAGCCTTTTAATATGCTTCAAATAACACTCTGCCCCCAGTGCAGATCGTCTCGTCCCAGTTCCAAAATACCACATTCCGCAGCATCGGATCTCTAAAAGCATGATGCGTATATGCACTGCTATGGATGACTCCATTCATTAGATGCATCGAAGTGCGCAAGCCAGGAAGCAGGTGATTATACCCTGGCGAAAAAGCCGGCGGCGAGATTCGAACCCTCGCCGCGCACACGACTTGCACGCAATCCGCTTCGCCCAGACTCGCAGAGTCGCTGCGCGATGCACAGCGACGCACGACGACTCGTATGGGCGACAGACGGCAAGTAACCGCGAATCGGGACGCAATGTACCCCCGGCGGCGGAATCTGCGCCTGAAAGTGGAAAATCGGACAGAAAAGCCTACTGAAATAGCTCGACCGACCAACGGTGGTCTGACACGTGCCCGCAGCAGCTACCCCGAGGCAAACGTAACGAGAAGCGTGTAAGGTGGCGAGACGCGAATACGCTCGCGGAGCACAGGCCGGGAGAGAGCGGAGCGCGCGAGAGGATGAAACGCGTGGGAGCGGCCACGACATGGCGGTGCGGGGCAGCGCGTGGGATGAAGCTACGCGATCACGAAGATATCATCGCGAATCACGGCGCACACATCCATCGTTCCTCACTTCGCAGACCACGTTGCACATGGTTTGCCCGCAAGTCAACAACCACCAAATGCCCTATCTGATGAGCCGAGACGAACCGAACCGAACCTCTCGCCGCCGATCTGGAATCGAACCGGAAAAAGCAGCTAGCTTTCTTCTGGCAGGTTCCGCGCGGATCGCTTGGATTGGTTGGAAGGGAGGATATTTTTCTGTGTGACAGGTGTGACTAGCGCGTACGTCTACAGTCGATGCTCAGCCTACCGGTATCACAAAACATTTTCTCTTGTCAATTAGAAATTTAGGGCGCTTCACCTGTCGGTTCGAACAACACACTCGTTCGAACAGGCGAAACGTTACTCGTTTCGCCTATGTTCGTAGTGGTGATCGTGACGTCGCGAAGCACAATTTCGCCTATTTGAACAGAGCTGTCACCTCAAGCCCGATTTTCATCATCCCGCGCGTTCGAACACGTTTGTTCGAACAGGTTGGGATAGGTGACACACAATTCCGCACAAACGACTGATATGATTGGTCCACAGTCTTCCGGGTCGCCCATGAACGTTTGCGACCCGGCCAGACGTTGGCTGTATTTCTAGCAATCCAGTTGGCTCCGCATTTGGTGGTCGCAGCGCTCGAGAAAACACACAAGCGAGGGACCCAATGTTTGGCGACGTCGCTCTTTTGTGGGCGACGTCGCTGTGTTCGAACAGACCGCGTGTGCGAATAGCGATGTCGTCACCTGTGATGGCCTGTGTCACATTCGCTCATTGTACGTATTTGTCAGAATGAGGAATGGGTGTTGCATTGATGTTGGTTGGGGTACATATGACAAACCCTAACTTCTGTACCCCCTAAGACAAACCTCACTACAGGCTACAACATTTGACACACCCCCATAGCCTAAGTGAGGGGTGTCTAGCAAAAACAAAAAGAGTACGGTCACAAGACCAGTCCAAAAGAAAACAAAGCTCAGGGTGGATCACAACGTCACCACACACTCTGAGCACAAGCAACAGTGGCCACAAGGCCAGTCCAAGAGATCACAAGTATATATAGCAAGAGTACAGACGAAGCAGGCAATAAACTCAAGCCTGCACATGACTAGAACCTGTGTCAACAAGGCCTAACTGCACACAACACCTCTGGTGGTCACGAGGCGGAAGCGCCTTGGTGAAGATGTCTGCAGTGTTGGCCTCGGACTCCACAAACTCGAAGCGAGCCTGTCCACGTCTCTGCAACTCTCGCAGAAGAAAGTACCTGACGTGAATGTGCTTCACTTTGCTCTCCAGTCGCGGCTCACGACAGAGGAGGATCGACGCCTTGTTGTCAGTGAACAAGGTCGGTGCAGAGCTCGGCCGCTCACCAAGGTCGGCGAGCAAGAAGGTCAACCAACGCAACTCCTGTGCCGCCATGGCACCAGCGTAAATCTCAGCCTCAGCTGTAGAGGTCGAGACAGAAGAGGAGCGCGTGGAACGCCAGGAAACAGCTCCAGAACCCAGACTGAAACAGTACCCCTGAGTAGACCTGTGAGTCTCAGCGTCGTCAGCGTAAGAGGAGTCACAGTGACCAGTGAGTACGACAGACTGCTGCCCTCCAAGAACTAGCCCCACGCCTGATGTAGTCGCTAGGTACTTCGCCACCCTCACAGCTGCCGTCCAGTGAACAGGACGGTGTCTCCCTGGCGCAACAAAGCGCGCAAGGATGCTGAGAGGGAAGGCGAGGTCCGGGCGAGTACAAGTCATCAGGTACATGAGGCAACCCACAAGCTCTGCGTAGGGACCACTAGGCTCAAACGGCTCGTCAGGAAAGGGACCAGTGAGTCTGTGGTCAACAGCTAGAGGTGTGCGCTGTACGGTGGAGTGCTGAAGCCCGAACCGCTGAAGGACCTGCTGCACCATGTGTGACTGTGAGAGTGTAATGGTGCGAGCGGCTCTGTCCCTGGTGATCTGCAGGCCAAGGTAGTGGCGCAGCTCACCAAGATCAGTGCACGTGTGTCTCTTCTGCAGTTCGGACTTCACGTCTGCCAAAGCAACCCTGTCCGGAGTGGCGAAAACGAGGTCGTCGACGTAAACCAGAACAAAGAACGGTGTGGAGCCACGACGAACGAACAGCGACGGGTCGGCAGAAGACGGCTGGAACCCAAGGTCAGAGAGGGTAGAACGCAGAGTGTCGTGCCACTCACGAGGGGCCTGGCGAAGACCGTAAACAGGTCGCCTCAGCCTCCACTGGGTCCCAGGAGGGAAGGTGCCAGTGAAGGCCGAGGGACGACGCAACCAGACCTCCTCGTGTAGGCTGCCCTGAAGGAAAGCAGTGGAGAAGTCAAGAGAGTGTAACTCGTAGTCTCTCTGTGCTGCTACGTGTAGTAACACCCGAAGAGTGGTCATCTTCGGGGTAGGTGCGAAGGTCTGAAAGAAGTCAACTCCCTCACGCTGACTGAAACCTCTAGCCACGTAGCGCGCCTTGAAGACCGGGGGAGATCCCGGTGGCCGCTTCACCCTGTAGATCCACATGCCGTCGACTACGTTCGCCCCAGGGGGGGGAACCTCATCGACGTAGGTGCCTGTGGATCTGTAGGAGGCCATCTCTGCGTCCATGGCAGCTCTCCACTGAGAGGCCCAAGGCCCTGACACTGCCTCAGCGTAAGTGCGAGGAGTCGGAATGTCAAGGGCGTCGGGGTCACCCTCAGGGGCGAGGAGCATGGCACAGAGATGAGGGGAAGCAGCCGCCAGGAACTCTAGCTCAAACTGCCTGTCCTCTAGGGCGTCACGGCCAAGGGTAGACACACCCCCGACGGCCAGAGGACTGGTAGGAGGAGCAGCCACAAGCGTGGTG